GCCCCAACGGGCAGACGAAGTCGCTGGTGCCGCAGCGGCTGGCGCTGGAGTACATCGTGCCCTGCATGAACAAGCACGGCATCTGCGTGGTGGACGACTTCCTCGGCAAGGAGCTGGGCGGGCTCATCGCGCAGGAGGTGCGCGCCCTCCACCACACCGGCCGCTTCACCGACGGGCAGCTCGTCAGCCAGAAGAGCGACTCCTCCAAGGACATCCGCGGCGACAAGATCACCTGGGTGGAGGGCAAGGAGCCCGGCTGCCAGACCATCCGGCTCCTCATGAACAGCATGGACGATCTCATCCGCCACTGCAACGGCAAGCTGGGCAACTACAAAATCAACGGCAGGACGAAAGTGAGTGCTAGACCCCCATACCCCCTTCCCCGGGGGGGCAGGCGGGAGCGAGGGAGAGGAGCGGGCGCTTCCTCGGCCGCGCACGGGTGTGCGTGGGTGTCTGTCTGTCTGTCTGCGTCCGTCCGTCCGGGGGAGGGAGCAGGGCCGGCTCGGAGGCGGCGTGGCTCCTGCTCTGCCCTCTGGGAAGCGCCTCTCGCTCGGACCCCTCTGGAGGCCTCTGCCGTAGTCGGTGGATACTGAAACGCGAGTTGGCCCTTCGCCTTCCGAAAAAAGGCTGCAAGTCATATCCTCGTTGGCCCCCCAAAGCGCGTGTGCTAGTCGCTGGACGTAAAGCACTCGTTCCCCTAAGCAACTTCGGTGCCCGCGTTGCCCTGAGCTGTGCTTGCACGTTGCACGCTTAGCCAGCGCTTTTTGCGTTACTCGGCGTGAAATTGCTGGGCCCTAGTAAAAACGGGGCTCAGGAAGCAGGCTGCCAAGTGCTGGACTTGGATGTCGTGTGTGCCTGGTGCGTTTTAAGACCTGCATGGTTGGGTGGGTGAGTTGCACCGTGATGACCCTTTAAATAAGTTACTCGTTGATCCACAGTAGGATCCTTTGGCAGCTCTGTTTTACAGTGTGCAGCAAAACATGACCGGTGAGGAGCAGTGTAGCTGCTGGGAGAAACTTTTTTTTGGTTACCATTCAGCTTTTCTGTCTTTTTTTTTTTTTTTTTTTCTGTGAAAGTCTTATTTTTCTCTTAAACTGCATTTTTGGCTCACAGGACTGAGTCAAAATTTCCCATTGTAGTAGCCTAATTTGCAATTCTCTTCAAGTCCTTAAAATAAAACTCACACCCTTACTAAAGGACTAGTAATGAATATTCATTAGTATCTTTTCAGATTTAAAAAGTGGTGGTGGGGGGAAGCTCCTTCACAATTTGCTACCTCCTATTAAAATATAAGGAAGCTAGTGAATTGCTAAGAACCATCCTATCATGTAGTCGTACCGTCTGTCACAGATAGACTGTTGTTGCTGCAGCTGCAGAATCTCAGCTGGTAGGAAGCGGTGAGGAGGAGGAGGGGAGAAACTGGAAGGCAAAAAACAGCCTTGGATTTGTTTCGGGCACAGTAAATTTCAACTCTTGTGATGAAGAAAAGTGGGTGGGAATTCTTATTTTTTTTGAACTGTGGTCTTTGTGTACCTTTAGCAGAACGAATACCATGTCAGAAGTTTAACTGGAACGTAATCTGGATTTCTTCTGTATCCCTGCTAGCTTGGATTTTTCTAAGCCAATTTATCTTTCAAACAGATTTAAATCTCTTTGAGGTGCTAGTACTTGCACTCTAAAAATCTGTGCCTTTGCTGGATTTCAGTTTTATGCAGTAAAAGGGACTACTGCTTCTGACTTCATGTGTGGTGGTGGTGGACTTCTGTCAGTAATGCGTGCCCGGGCTTTAGAAAAGAGCTTTTGGAATTGTAAGTGGGATTCCTGAACCATTGCATCTTATGTTTATAAGTAGTAACTAGTACTTTGCTAATTTTGAAAGAATGTATGTGGATAGAGGAGAATCCCATTGTACAGCTAGCTGCACGTTTTTCTGTAGTGACAGTAAAGTGATGAAGACTGTTGAGCCCTCCAAGCTTTCAGTCACTGCTGAAATGCCTGTGTATTTCAGGTATCGGGATAGGTGCTCTCCTTTACTCCTTGGTGACACAGAAACGCGTTGCTTTCTGTCTTCTCATTTTCCTCCTGCATGTCTCCCAGCAGAAGTCAGTGTTGGAAGAGTTGCAGTAAAGCTCTCATTTTCTAAAGGGCTTCAGCAAGAGCAGCATGAAAGCTGTCAGTAACTTTCAGGAGCTCACCCATGGGTCAAATGAAGGAAAACAGTTGGTGAGAAGAGTGTAGCAAGTCCGTAGAAGAGTTTCAGCTGTTGAAATACCTGCTTCAGTGCTCGTTTGAGAATGCTTATTCTTAAAGGCAGCAGGGGCAGGAGTGATGTGATGACTTCCACCTGCAGTCGTCTTTTACGTTCGTGAAGAGTTATACGTTTTCTTCTGCCATTAATATCGCAGTAAATAGCATCCAAAGGCTGTGGCTGGGGAAGCAGTCCAGCAGCAGGTGCTTTTGACACATATCCCTTCTGAGCTCCTGGCAGTTTGGCCAGAGGGCTAGGGGGAAGAGAAGATGTAAAACGTACATGGAAGCATCTCTTGGTTTTTCTAAAGTCATTTCTTCTTCACTTCTTGCGCCTGCTTTTTCTGAATCTAGGTATGTTTGCCTTATGGTAGGAATCCCGGTGTCTTTTCCATTCTTGGCTGTATAGAGGGGTAGGCAATGGAGATACCGCAGTATCCACAGTAGGTGTTACTCTGTGGCTTTTCCGTTAGCTCAGTTTGCATGGTGACAGTTGCTTGGTTCACTTAATTGGTCAAATACAGTCCATTTTCAGATCGTTATTGCTACGTTGGTTCTGCAATTCACAGCAAAGACTTCTTATTTTTTAGAGGGAACAGTCTGTGCGTGGTACCTGTTCATTCTTACTGGCTGCATTTCAAGTAACAGAACAAAAATGCATGAAAATGCAGAACATGTTTTCACCTGACAAACTAAGCTCTTACCAAATAATTCTACTACTCCTGTACGTTCATATTGCGGTACTGTGGTCTGCAGAGTTTGTGCGTGGAGGATTTAGTGTAATGTTTTACTGAAGGTGCTGAATAAACCAATATGCCCCGTCACTGATGGGGTTTGTAATTCTCAACCATTTGAACCAACGAAACAATTCCAGCCCTTGGGGATCCCCCGACCTTATCTGGAAGATGACCGATGTTAGCTACACAGCATAATGGGTTATCGTCTGTATCAAACATCAGCAGTTTGGTGCGCTGCTTCGTGTAGAGGGGAACCTATTAAAATTGGGCTGTGTATTTAAATGAGGGGTACATAGCCACGCTGGTGAAATACGAGGCAGTGCAGTCGGGAGTCTGCGTATCCTCCCAAAGACATTTACTGAGAAATCAAAAGTTTGTTTATTTTAAGGTGCAGTGCCGTAGCTTTTAGGAGGAGGTGATTTTGCATTCTCAGTTCTAAAGGATTTTTTTGGTCTGATTTTTATTCTTCACTAGATTTGTGAAAACTTAACACAGAAAGAGAGTAGGAGTTAGAGCACGCTATGAAGTGGATTTATTTATGATTCATTCCCTCTAATAGGATATGCTTGTTTACAGAGCTTGAACTAGATCTTGTAAAGGTTAAAGATTCCATAAAAGCTCCTGTGACTTGTATGACAAAGTGCCAGCCCTTGCACAACGTTCAGAAACAAAGCCTGTTTTCTAAGAACGCGCTACAGCGAACCCAACAAAAATATTTAAAAAAAGGGAAAGAACTCTGCTGTAATCAGGCCGTAAGTGGTTTGGGTTTCTTGTTTGTTTTATGCGTTTTACATCTTAAAATCTCTGTTAGGGTGTCTAGACTGATGGGGCTACCTTAAATTGATCCAGTTGAACTTATGTGACTTTGCTTAGGCCTCTTCATCAGTAGAATACTCTGCAGGTTGAAAAGTGCCTATATAGCAGTGGGTATAAACTAGCCAACTACCTTTTATGTGAGCATACAGCAGTACAGTAGCCAGTACAACACAATGGCTGGCTATTTACTCACCTTAAAAGTCTTGACTTGCTACATTCCTTGCTTTTGTTCTGTTAGTCTCTCTCTTTCCAGACTGTGCTTCCTTTTTTGCTAGCAGATCGTGGCACGTACTTGTATACGTGAGCTCCAGTGTCTTTCTCCTACTTCCTGTTATTTTCTAGATTTTTGTCTTCTTTCATCTCCTCCCAAAATATTAATTCTCTCTTTCCTTTCTCTTATCTGTTCCCACATTTGCACACATGCATATCTCTGTTTCCTGCCTGTCCTGTCTCAGATAGCCAGCGGGGGTATAAATCTGCTCATCAAAGTTGGGGAATGAAATATTCCAGAATCTCGCCCAGGTGAAAAGGTTTTTCCTCTTCCTTCTCCACTCAGGCTGGGAAGGGAGAGGGGCAGCATTGTGATTTCTTGCTAGGTTTCTCTTTCCTCTATTGTGGATGGCTGTTCATCCAAGACTTCAAGTGCTTCATAAATATGAAGCTTTCATTCTTCACTGGTATTGTGGTAATATTGGGAGACCCCAGTCATGAACTGGGTTTTCCTACTAATCACTGTGTAAACCAGGGTCTGATCTATCAGCTGTTCCTGCTTCCACTCCCCTCACCCTTCTCCTCACCCTACCCTAGGCCTTTCATTGACTGGAGATTGAATAGACAGTTCCTATTATATTTCTTGAGTTTTTGTTTCATTTCCACTCCTGTGTACATCCAACATAAGAGCTACAGCTCAAATTATTCAATTTGAATAAGCATTCCTGTCCCTACCAGTATGCCAATGGCAGCCGCTGCTGCTCAGCCACCAGTGGCTTAGACCGCTTTATAGGCGGCATGTTGCGCAAGCCTGGTCTTGCGCTTTTTTTCTTGATATTGTTGAATTACTTAATTGTGCATCTCTTTTTTTCCTGCCTTCCCACCTCAAAATAGAGATATTGACCTGGTTCTGAGTATTTTCACTGCTGCTTATGATTTCCTGGGTGCCAGTTGATTTTCAGTGTGCTGCATAGCAGAGTGCCCAGGAGTCTTCTGAAGACCTAGGGTGCTCTGGATCCGGACTAGCCTGACTGTGTCCTATTGAATTAGGTTCTCTCACAGTTAGTAATATTCCTTTAGAAAATACTTTTCTAACAGTGAGCGAGTTTCTCATACCCTGCTGTCAGCTTTTCTAGAAACTGGGAAGAAGAGATTCTCTGCTCTAGCCATTTATTTGTATAGCAGCTGTCATATAAACATGTTGGATTAACGTTACCAAGGAAAGAGAAACATAACTAACAAGCAGTAATCAGCTCATACAAATGAAGCTGTCAACAGCTAGTGTGGCACTGAAACATCAGCGCAGAACATGAGAAGAGAATACAGATGTCTGAGTTTTGCAG